AGCTTTCTGCAAAGAGCCTTACATAGTTGTTATAATATTTATTATTTCAAAAGTTGGATGATATTGGTAGTGATGCCTTAATCATTTTGTATATTTTTTTTTAAAGTACAAGTCTTCTCCAGGCTGCCTGACAACAAGAGGCAACAAACAGAAACAAATTTTGAGTTTCTACAAATATACACATATACTGATCTACTGATCTGCTATTTGGTGCACAAGAACTGTTACATTACAGGATATTCTCTGTTGTTTAATTATCAGTGTTCCTGACCAAGAAACAAAAAATAGAAAATATTTTCTATGAACCCCAAAAGATATTTCAAGGATCTTTTTTTTCTTAACAGAACTCATAGCCATAGAGTAACTGCTTTGAAATTTGACCTACAACATACAACTCATCTGTTTAAAACAAAAAGTGAGAAATCTTATTGGGCTTACAAGAAACACAATACTTGCAACTACAAAGTCAACTATTTCCATCATTAAGAATAACTTTACAAGTATTTCGTACTATACTTCTAAATGTTTCCATAATTAGGCAATTATATACACTGTACATATTAGAGGAAATGCCCTATTACACTCAATCCTATTCAAACTAAAATAAAAAGGTAGAAATAAAAAACATACACATGGAAAACTTGTCAGCTATTCAGTTTGACTATTTTAAAATAAATGTTTGTTTTACCTAACAAATGTTTGTTCTACCTATATATGGTTTCTAGAAGAATATTCCCTTGATTTTTTTAGGTCATCTGTTAATTCTAAATACAGTAATTTAACCTCTGAAATTACTCTGGAAGTCTCATTCAAGGAGACTACATGCAGTTCTATGACCAAAGGTTGTACCCTAAAATGGGAAGAAAATGGAAAGAAAAATCTCCACAGAGATCTTAAAAGTACTTGATCAGAAAATAAGACTCCTTTAGTAAAAGGCAAGGGGATGAAGTGAAGGCTGTCAAAGTTCATGCTGAGTTCTCATTGTTCCTGATTAAGAAATTCTGTGCCTCAAAGTTTTCCACTGCTTCCTTGGTGTTGAATGCACATTTATGAATGCATTATATCATTGCAATGACATTGGGTAAAACCAGTTGGCTTTATCAGAAATAAGTGTAGGTATGCATACTGTATGCATTAAGCCATTCCCTCAGAGAACTTTATAACTTCCGCCCTAAGATCTTTCAAGAAGCTATTAAAAACTTCTCACTGGCCCTCACTGGGGTACTTGTGGAATCCCTACATATTTGGTTCATTTAGTGTTGACGTAGCCTTTCATTAGTTCTGTTTCCTATTGTTATTTCTTGCTCTTTCTGTTTTAATTGAAAGTTGACCAGAGCTGTAGTTAGGCAACCTTGAAATCTAATGACATAAATAAATGGTAGCCCAACTCATTTATGTCACCACTACAGACCCAAGGAAGAGGCTGAATCCTGACACATGGTTATCATTAGCAGTTGGCATTTACATTATTTCAATAAGATACCTTTCAAAAGACAAATACATGACACTGATATCATAGGGATGAAGTGGGGTTTTTTTGCTTTGGATTTATACTAGCATATTGTATGTGTTTAGCAAATAGGACATCTGAATATTTGCATTGTTTGAAAGAAGCAATGAAAGTTGCCTAATAGTGGAAGGATGATTTAACCCATTTTTGCAAGCCCATAGCAAGCAATTATAATACCACATATATTTAAAAAAAGCCTTCTGTTTGTGTGTGTGTATGCATACACAAATAAAATGGTTTTTTTCTATATGAGGAAAAGAGATTCACAATCTTTTTAGTATATCATGGAACTGTAAAATTAAAATGAGCCCACTGATTGAACATATCATGCAAATCTAATCAATTACCATTTATTCAACAACGCTGAATGTATGTATGGGGTTACAATCTACAAAATAGAACCACTAAATTTTATTTAAGTTGTAGAATGCATTTTCTAATAATATGGTTGAGGAAGCTTGTAACGTTTAGTTTTTGATGCCAATGTAATTTTTTTTTATTATCTCAGGTAAAGAAATTGACAAATCAGATTTCCTAAGCAGGTAGCGGCAGCCAAAATTCAGATCCTACAAGAAAACTGAACCACCAGCCTCTAGTAACAAAAGTTCAAAGTGTTTATAAAATGTGTTCTAGAAAATCTCAATACTAGCTCTCTAGAATAGCATATTCTCTATTTGCTTTCATTTGTATTCCTGACATTGTACATTTGCACCTATCACCCACATTTCTGATGCCAAGGATAGCGTAAATCACTTCTCATCTCTCTCACTGCAGTCTTTACAATTTTAAGGAAGTGTTTTAGAACTACCATATTTTTTTTGCATGCAAAAAAACTTCATTCGGTCTAATGTTCACTACTAAACATTTTCGCTTTTAATCATTTTTTTCTGGTTACTAAGAGTTACACGGACATGTTTATCTATTTACTATCTACAATTTGGTAGGAAGACAAAACACTCAAAACAACTTTGTAATCTGTCAAACATGTCATGTTTATATAAGTGCTATACATGAAGGGGGGAAATCAGTGAGGAATGTATAAATGAATGAATGATATTCAACCCGTACAGTGGTGGGATTAAAAAAAAATTACTACCGGTTCTATGGGTGTGGTTTGGTGGGCATGGCGTGGTGGGCATGGCAGGGGAAGGATACTGTAAAATCTCCATTCCCATCCCAATCCTGGGGTTACTGCAAAATTCCCATTTCCTCCCCATCCCAGCTCCGTTCTCTTGTGCAGGGCAACAAAACAAGACCCAGCCAATCAGCTGGGACTCGGGAGTCAAAGAATAGATGGGGGCAGGAATAGTCAGAGATGGTATTTGCCGGTTCTCCAAACTATTCAAAATTTCCGCTACCAGTTCTCCAGAACTGGTCAGAATCTGCTGAATACCACCTCTGAACGTGTATCAAACCACTCTATTTTTTCTGCAGTTCTCATACAATTTGTAATAGACAGTTCCCAAATGATACATATTCACAAGATAGCTTATATAAAGAGACAGTTGCAATCTTCTCCATCATCTATGAAAAGACTTGCCTCCTTCTCAAATCACAAAGTATTTTTTTAAGTATCTGCTCTAATGTACTAGGGAATAAATCGGTTATAAATGGGAAATGGTTCAGTCACTAAAATTCTTATAACCTTATTCTTTTCATTGCAATAATTCTTGACAAAGAAAACACTGTAAGAATATTTCACAGAAAGCATTAAGGCAGAGCCTGAGATAATTTGATAAAGGAGAATTTGTTTATGTAATTTATTTCAAAGTAAATCAAAGATCCCCCCCCAAAAAAATCTCATAGAATATGATAATTTTATGATTCATTATACAATTTATAAATTGTCAAGGTCTGTGTATCTATTTCTGTTAGATCCTAAGAAGATTCTTTTGAACTGCAGTATTATTTTGGAATCCAGTATATATTCCTAGTTTCCTACTATTTTGGCCCCTATGGTTTAGAATCAGGAGAACTATCTTATTTTTTCCCTTCTTCTGCTTTCCTTGGTTAATAAATAATTAGAGAGGCTTTAAAAATTAAGCTGAATTGCTTTTCCTATAATTGTTGAGGAGATTAAGTTACTATTTTGTCTCTCTTTCTTCAAAGGTCTGTGCCAAGAAGGTGTTATCCAAATTGTCTACTGTATCTCACCAACAATAATATATCTATTATTTCTCCTGTATTTGCAGGGGTGGGATTCAAATGTCTTAACAACCCGTTCTGTGGGCGTGGCCTAATTTGTAGGTGTGGCTTGGTGGTCCTGTCACTGGGTGGGCGTGGCTTGTATATAAATATTGTAAATATTTATGTAAATATTGGATTTTAAAAAAGCAACTTTTACCCAAAATAGGCAAAGCAGGCAGGCAGATTGAGTTGCTCACAGAATCACAGATTCACTTAGAGATCTATATACAAATGCCTATATAAAAATGCACAAAGTCTGGGGAACAAATAGGGTGAACTCGAACTAGGAATACATGAAGGTAAATATGATATAGTTGGGATAACAGAAACTTGGTGGGATGAAACCCATGACTCGAATATACTGCTAGAACTATTCAAAACTATTCAAAAAAACCAGACCCCATAAAAGAAGAGGCAGAGTTGCACTGTATGTAAAGGACCACTATATTGCTACAAAAATGCATGAAACCAAAGATGAAAACCTCCTAGAATGCATATGGGTCAATATAAAAGAAAAAAAGAATGACGTGGCCATAGGCATATATTATAGGCTACCCAATCAAGCAGAAAAAATAGATGTCCTTTTTGCCAGCCAACTAACAAACATATGCAGGAAGCACACAACAATAGTAATAGGAGACTTCAATTATCCTGATATCAATTGGAAAATTAATTCTGCACCAAGTGAGAAATCAAATAAGTTCCTAACCAACCTAGCTGACAACTTTGTTGTCCAAAAGGTAGAGGGTGAAACTAGAGAGAGAGCCATACTGGACTTAATTCTTACAAATAGAGAAGAAGTGATAAAGGGAGTTGAAACAGCAGGAAGCTTGGCTGAGAGTGACCATGTCATACTAGAATTCAACATAACACAAACACAAGCAACAGAACATAATGACACCAGAGTCTTCGATTTTAAAAGAGCTGATTTCAATAAACTCTGAGAGAACTTGGGAAAGATTCCATGGATGAATATCCTAAAGGGGAAAACAACTCAAGAATCTTGGGAAACTCTAAAAAGTATGATCATAGAAGCCCAGACCAGCACAATACCACTGAGAAAGAAAAACAAGAAATCCAAGAAGAAACCAGCATGGCTGCACAAAGATCTCTGTGGCAAATTGAAAGAAAAAAAGGACAAGTACAAAAAATGGAAAGAAGGACATACAACTAAGGCAGAATATCAGCAGATAGCCAGAATCTGCAAAGACGAAGTCAGGATAGCAAAGGCTCAGAACGAACAAAGACTTGCAACAAAAGTCAAAGATAATAAAAAAGTTTCTTCCAACATATAAATAACAAGAAAAAAATCAAGGGAACAGTAAGTCCACTAAAGAGAATATGGCAAGGAAGTAACAGGCAACAGAGAGAAAGCAGAACTGCTTAAATCATTCTTTGTATCTGTCTTCACACAAAAAGAAACTATAGGTCAACCCACCAAAAACATAACTGTAAAAGACAGACCAGAAATAAAAGTTAAAATAAGCAAAAAAAAATAGTAAGAGAATACCTGTCTGATCTTGATGAAAACAAATCACCAGGGCCTGATGGATTACATCCCAGAGTTTTAAAGGAGCTGGCAGAGGTCATCTCAGAACCACTACACCCTATCTTTCAAAAATCCTGGAGCACCGGGGAACTACCAGAGGACTGGAAAAGAGCTGATGTGGTTCCCATCTTCAAAAAAGGAAAAAAAAACAGACCCAGGAAACTATAGACCAATCAGCCTAACATCAATACTGGGGAAGATACTGGAAAAGATAATAAAAAAACAGATCTGCCAACATCTAGAAACAAGTAAAGTAATAACTAGCAGTCAGCACGAATTTGTTAAAAACAGATCATGCCAAACCAATCTTATTTCATTCTTCAACACAGTGACTAAATTAGTAGACCAGCAAAATACTGTGGACATAATATATTTAGATTTCAGCAAGTCATTCGATAAAGTAGACCACAACCTACTTCTTAATAAGCTAGAAAAAAGTGGAATAGATAGCATCACCACTAGATGGACTCGCAACTGGCTGGCAAACTGTACTCACAAGTAGTCGTTAATGGGTCTAAGTCTACATGGAGGGAAGTAAGCAGTGGGGTGCCACAAGGTTCCATCTTAGGCCCAGTACTCTTCAATATCTTCATTAACAACTTAGATGAGGGAATAGAAGGGGAACTTACCAAATTTGCAGATGCTACTAAGCTGACAGGAATAGCCAACACCCAAGAAGATAGGCTCAAGATCCAGATGGATCTTGATAGACTAGAACACTGGGCCATATCTAATAAAATAAAATTCAATATTGAGAAAAGTAAAGTCCTACATTTAGGCAAGAAAAACCAAAAGTACACATATAGACTGGGTGAAATCAGGCTCAATAGCAGTAACTGTGAGAGGGATCTTGAGTCTTAGTGGACAACCAGCTAAATATGAGCCAGCAGTGTGCAGCAGCAGCCAAAAAAGCTAATGCAATCCTAAGTTGTATTAACAGAGGGATACAGTCAAGATCAAGGGAAGTACTAATACCACTCTAGAAAGCTTTAGTAAGACCACACCTAGAGTACTGCATCCAGTTTTGGTCACCACATTATAAAAAAGATGTTGAGACTCTAGAAATAGTATAGAGAAGAGCAACCAGGATGATTAGGGGACTGGAGGCTAAAACATACAACGAAACATACATCCTGCCCGGTTGCAGGAACTGGGCTTGGCTAGTCTACTAAAGAGAAGGACCAGGGGAGACATGATAGTGGTCTTCCAATATTTGAGGGGCTCCCACAGGGAGGAAGGGGTCAAGCTATTTTCTAAAGCACCTGTAGGCCAGACAAGGAATAATGGATGGAAATTGAACAAGGAGAGATTTAACCTGGAAATAAGGAGAAACTTTCTGACAGTGAGAACAATCAACCAATGCAACAGCTTGCCATCGGAAGTTGTGGGAGCACAATCACTTGAGACTTTCAAGAAGAGATTGGACTGCCATTTGTCAGAAATGGTGTAGGGTCTCCCACTTGGGCGGGGGGTTGGACTAGATGACCTACAAGGTCCCTTCCAACTCTGATTATCTGTAATCTATCTTTCTTCAATCTGTTACCTGAGTCTGTCACATAAAATTTGCTAGCAAGCAAACTCATAAAATTAACTCACAACACACCATGTATGTAAATATTGAATTTTTTATTTAAAAAAAGAGCAACTTTTACCCAAAATCAGGCAAAGCAAGCAGGCAGATTAAGTTGCTCACAGAATCACAACTCACAAATTCACCCAGAGATCTACCTTTCTGCAATCTATTGCCTGAGTCTGTCACAAAAAATATAAGCTTCAGTCCTAAGAAAGGTTCAGGTCTGCTTTTAGATTAGGTAGAAAGCAAGAAATCCAATGATTTCCTGCTTTCTAGCTAATCTAAATCTCCCGGCACAGCAGAACAACTAATGGTTGGGGGAGGGAAGGAAAAATAGTAACTTAGCAGGCAAGTTTGCCAGGTAAGGAGTGAGTGGGCAGGCAGGGGTGGGGCCAGCCAGTGGTGTGATTTGCCGGTTCTCTGAACTGGGCAAAATCATAACAACCGGTTCTATAGAACCAGTCCAACCAGGTAGAATCCCACCCCTGTGTATTTGTACCATATTTTCTTGACTGGATGCTTGTGTTTTAATTCCTGGGGCAAACTGAGCCAATATTAAGCAATATCTAGCCAAGAAAACTGAACAGTGACTGAGCAATACTTCAAATGAAAATCAATACTATGAATATAACACATAGTATTTCTATTTTCCAAGGGGTATAAGACTCATGCCTTCCTTGCTCCTTTCCAAATACAGTTCTTTCAGATGTTTTTAATTATATTTCTCATGATCAAATATTTGAAAGCAAAATTCAAGGTGAGATTGCCTCTCATCTCTAGAAATTATAATACAGCAAGCGTCAGAACCAGATGCTATTCTATCCTTTCAACAGCAAAACAAACCAAATCTCTCTTATTTTAACAAGCATACATTGGAGATGCTTCAGTCACTATGTTTCATGGATATTAGTTTGCCTGGGCAAATGGAAGTTTGTAATTTTGAGGCCAGTAGCCTTCAATTTTCCACTACATCTTCTTTCCTATATATTTGTTCAAGATTTTCTTTTCAAAACCTGAGAGGTGTTAAAATAACACTATTAAACTATTTTTGTTCTGAAAGTCTTTCTAAGCCTCCTGAGTCTTTTATCTGCCTTACTTCTTTACATCCCTTTTTCATTTCCTATCAGAGAACAAATTGATACAGTCATCCTAACCTCTTGCAAAAGAAAGAAGATTGCTTCGTACAATGTAAAACAATCCTAAACAGAAATAATAGGAATTTATATGAAAATCATTCCTTTGGTTGTCTCACATTACATGTAAAGGATACAAATGATATACAAGTTCAATTGAATTTCCTTTCAACAAAATAAAGCCTATGCCAATAGCAAATTATTATTTGCATGCTATGATGAAGCTGCAGATATTTTTTTAAATAATGGAAAGATCTATTAAACAATCACAGCATAAGATGATTACTAACTTAACAAGTGCAATGATTCACTTAACAATTATGGCAAGAAATTCATAAAATGGGGCAAAAAATATGTAATTAAATGTCTCACTCAGCAACATAAAATTTGGGCTTGCAGTTGTAAGTTGAGGACTACCTGTAATAACAAGATCTGAGTTGGGGCACTGAGAAAGGTGAGCAAATATAAATCTCCTTCCCATCCCCTCAACTTATAAAAGGGAAAAGGGGGAAATCTATTTATGTCAGCAAAAATATCCAACATAGGAGAAAAATAGTATGTAATTTTCATATTGTTTTAATGCAGTTAAAAGAGTCCAAATTCCAGGGATCAAGTGTTTAAAAGTAATAGGAAGGTAGATTCTGCAGTTGTAAAGGGTTATAACTGACTGTTTCAGATGTATTACTTTTTTAAAAAATGCAATCAAAGCAAGACACAACTTTCTGAATCTGAAAAATGACACACATACTCATATATGCAATGGAGTAAAGCAACAATAAATGTACAGGGACACATTTATTTTCATTGCACTTCATCACAGCTAGAGAGGAAAGTTACACAGGGGAAAATAAATGTTGTAAAAAGAATATAAATCTTTCAATAACAGATCTATTATGATAAAATAAAAATCCCCAAGTCCCTGATATCTACAAAGTGAAGCACTCCAATTCTGCCACAAATAAATAGCTTTTCCTAACAATCACACAGCTCCTTTATCGGTGATCATACCAAATGATCTTAGATATCCCCAATATTAAAAGAACATTTTTCTTACTTTTTTTTTTAAAAGGAAGAACTTATTAAGCTTTCAGGTACAGCTGAGAAACACTGTGTATGCCTTTTTCATAAATACAACTTGAAAATGTGCAATCTGACACTTACTCTGATAAAAAAAAAAGGAATTTCTTCTGTTCACAAATAAAATTCAGCTTCCCTGACATTTGCATAAAACATATTAAAGTTATTCCCCATCATTTCATGAAAGAGAAAGCAGAAAGATGCTGAACTTACAACTGTAAACCTTCTATGTTAATGGTCCAGTTCAATCCATTCTGAATTATTTTTTGTGAGCAACATGTTGATATATTTGATATTTGAGGAAGCCCATTAAGTTGCTCTGTATCACCAAGAAGAAATGTCAAAGTGTAAAGTTGCTACATACTATAAATATTCTAGATTTATCAACATACAAATATTCATATGTGCCTTAGCCCAAAACTGTTCAGAGGCCTGCCTACTTCCATTGAGTCCACTGGGATAGATAGGACCAAGGAGTATCAGTGGGACACTCTTTGTGGCTTATAATGTATTTGACACCAATTCTTTTAATTCATTCTGCATTTTCTGCAATGGGTTTCATGTTTATACACTTCTAACTAAAAGCCACAATAATGTTGACACAAAACACATAATTTGTGCCACACTGTCATCAAGTAAATGAGGCAAATTTCATAATTTTGTATCATTTGCATGACATCATGTGTGTAATGTCATTTGCCTTTGTTGCCTTCATGCCTATCTTACAAATCAATTACCACACTAAACGAAATATGCCCAAGTTTTATTAGACCTAAGATGGTGGCTTATAACAGACTTCTTCACCCAAACATTTTAGAATCTGTTTGACAGAACACTGGCTAAAACTTTTCAGATTCAGTGGCATGTACATTTTCTAAATTATACAACGAAATACATTTATATTATTTGCTTGTTCCACAAGACACTGCATTGAGATAGAGCAAGATCACAAAAATTGAACATAGAAAACATACATAAAATGTTTGGGTGAAG